AGCCGCCGCCACGGCCGCCACGACCGCCGCCACGACCACCGCCGCGGCCAAAGCTGCTCTGGTGCATCTGGCCGAGCCAGTCGGGGCACTCCTGGCCGTTCTCGAGGAGGAGTTCGTGGAGCTCGCGGATGATGTTGCGGTTCTTGTCGTTGACCATCGAGAGCGCGTTACCGACGTTACCGACACGGCCCGTACGACCGATGCGGTGGACGTAGTCGTCAATGTTGGACGGCAAGTCGTAGTTGATGACCTGCGTCACGCCAGAGATATCGAGACCACGGGCGGCCACGTCCGTCGCGACAAGCACCGGCGTGCGGCCCGAGCGGAACGACGCGAGCGCCTCTTCGCGCTCACGCTGCGAGCGGTCGCCGTGGATCGACGTGGCCGGGAAGCCTTCGTGGCAGAGCATGTCTTCGAGGAAGTCGGCCGCGCGCTTCGTCTCGACGAACACGAGGATGAGGCCGTCCTGGACTTGGTTGAGGAAGCGGATAAGGTAGTCCTCCTTGTCCTGCGGGTCAACGTACACGACCGTCTGCTTGACGTCCTTGGAGGCAGCGCCGACGCGGCCGACCGTCAAGAAAATGTAGTCGCGCAAAAAGTCCGAGGCCAAGCGCTGGATCTCGCGCGGGAACGTGGCCGAGAACATGAACGTCTGGCGCTCGCGCGACATGTCTTCCTGCTCGACGATGCGGCGAATCTGCGGCTCGAAACCCATGTCGAGCATGCGATCGGCTTCGTCCAAAATGAGGAACTGGATGCCGGCAAGCGACACGCGGCCGCGCTCAATCAAGTCGACAAGACGACCGGGCGTGGCGACCATCATGTCGCAGCCGCGCTCGAGGTTGCGGAGCTGGCTGCCGACGTCGGCGCCACCATAGACGACGACGGGGCGACACCCGTGCAGTAGCAGAACTTCTTGGCTTCGTCGTAGATCTGCGACGCGAGCTCGCGCGTGGGCGCCAAGATGAGCGCCGACGGGAAGATCTTGCGGCGGCGACCACCGCTCGCGGTCTCCTCGTCAATGTTGGCGGGGCCGTTACGGAGCATGGACGCGAGCGTCGGGAAGAGGAAGCCACCCGTCTTACCCGAACCCGTCTGAGCACAGGCCATCATGTCGCGGCCAGCCAGACCGATCGGGATCGAGTACTTCTGGACAGGCGTCGGCTTGTCGTAGCGGCAGAGCTCGAGGTTCTTGCACACTTCGGGGCCGAGCTCGGCTTCGTTGAATGTGGTGACCGGCGGCGGGACGCCTTCACCGCTCGTCTCGACTGGGATGTCATCGTAGCTGTCGAAGTTGATGCCCGACGACTGGCAGTCGCCAAAGAGCTCTTGTTCGAGGCGCGCGTTCGGGTTCATGTCGCCATAAAAGCCAATGCGGTTCTTGCGCGGGCCGCCGTAGCCACCGCCGCCGCCACGCGAGAAGCCACCTTCGCGAGGACCGTCACGCGAGTAGCCGCCGTCGCGACCGCCGCCGCCACGGTAGTTGTCACGGGGCGCCGACTCGAACGACGACCAGCGCGAGTTCGTGGCCGGGGGTTCGCGGTGGTTGTCGCGGCCGCCACGGGCGCCGTAGCCGCCACGGCGGTCGTCGCCACGCTCGGAGCCGCGCTCGCTGCCATGGTTGCTGCTGCGGTCGTCGGCCCCGCGGAGGTGCGGAGGGACATATCTGCTACGAGGTTGGCTTCCGTCCATTAATTTTGCGTCAGAAATTCTAACTTTGGCGAATCCGTCGAAGCGACGGGTGGTTTCCAACACCTTGGCGCTGTAAATGTGTTTTAAACACGAAGTGTTCTTTTAAACCTAAATAGTGTATGGAGTCAGCGTCCACGCGCTGACGTGGCGGTGGGCCGCTCCACTCGATCGCTTCATTGCAGAGAACGATGCGCCGTGCACCCCATTTTGCTGTCGATCAAGGTTCTACATGATGTACACGCTCTCGTGCAGTTTGAAATCAGGATATAGAGCTGGAAACCAAGACATGGACTGGAAACAACAGCGTGCGCCAACGTCATGATCCGAAGAGATGAAATAACAGTAGCCGCGGGTTGAAGAGCAAGTCGGAGTAGCCGCAGCGAGGGCTGCCTTGGCGACGCGATATACTCGTCTGATAGTCGAATGGACTTTCCGTGGCATGTTCATCACAGAGCTAGGACGTCGCCGATGCGGGAGGACAACGTCATTTTATATGCACTTGAAGCGCAAAAGCCAACTTCAGTTGCGAGGAAGTGCATAAAAGAGGAAGCGCACCGAGAAAGGCGCCAGGAGGCATCTCGCTTTGTTTGAAGCTAGGTTCAAACGATAACCTCGGAACACGCGGTCTAGTGCAACGGACAAGCACTACATTCCGTAGCACGATCCATCAACTGGGACATTGCGTTCCATTTCATAGTCTTTGTCGAAAGTGCTGGTGCTGGAGTGCGAGCATTGGGGCATGAATGGCAATGCGGCCATTCCTCTTACACTATTTCGTGTTTTTGGTCCAGGATTCGACGTGGCTCTTCAAGGTGCTTCGAAATCGGTTTTAAACACGTTCCGAGATCATTGGATATGGCATTATTCCTTTTCGACCAATCAGACGCGCCGCAACCCATGGCCCCTGTCCCCGTATTTTAAAGACAAAACATCCAGTTTAATCTGACCGTTTGTATGTCGGAGCGGTGAAACGTCATTAAATGATGCCCGTTCGCGGAGAAAGTGCAGATCCGAGTCGGCGTGTGATTGGTGGAAATCCCCACATGGGTTTCGACGCACTGCATTTTCTTGGTCTGTTCCTGCTGGCGGGAACCAAGCTGCGGACCGAGCGTGGTGACCGTAGAGCGCTGCAGAGGACCCGGCGACGTCGACGTCTCTGCCGCGTTGCTCGGTCCCGCCTGTTACAAGCGCACACCCGCTCGATACGCGCCAATGAGCCGTGGCGTCAACCAGCCAGCCATTGACGCTGCCAGCTCTACCAAACGCCTTGTCTATGCACCAAGCGCAAGGCGGCCGCATGAGGCGCTCCGTCCCGCGCTGCCAGTGGATGCTGCATTTGGCAACGCCCATGTATACCGACTGTACATGCAAGGAACAACAGCTTGCCGCGTTGTGTGCGTGTCGGTTGAGTGAGCGATAGCGGCTGCAACCCAGGGTAAGGATGTCGAAGCTGCGATTTTGCGTCAGGATCCATCGCAGCAAACCGTTCATACACGTTGCCGCATCGTTGGGCTCAAGCGCTGTGTGCACATGGTCTAGTAGATAGTCGCCGACACGTCGCCGGATTGTAGCTCCGCCGAGTAGCGGCCGACGACACGCAAGTCTTATGTGATCCAGAGGATGCAAACAAGATCGTCTAGTTACTGCAGTTGCTCATAGAATGCTCGTGTAGCCGTGCTTTTGGCGCATGTAAAACTTGACGCCAATGAAGAAGCCGACGCTGCCACAAACCGCGAGCGCGAGCGCGACGAACACGTACACGACGGTGCTCGACACGGTCGCGGGCGCCGCACGCGAGTGCATCGGCAGCTTGTCAAAGTACCCGACGTCGCGGAGCCAGCTCTCGGGGTAGAAGAGCGACGACATAGCGATCGATGGCGCCTTTGTCAGGTTGCGCATCTCGTACCCGTCGTGGAAGCGCGTCACAAGGTGTCCGAAGAGCTGTTGGAAGCGCGCATGCATGGCTTGCGCCGCAGCGTCTGACTGCGTCTGGAGGTACGAAGCGATCGCGGTCGCATTCTCATCCAGTGCAAGCACACTGTTCGAGACGTTGACTTGGCGCAGCAAGAGGGCACTCTCGAGCTCGGCTTGCACAGCGCGGACGACGGGCGAGATGACGACGTAGAAGCGCGTCATCCAGTTGCCGACAACGGCGAACGCCCAGTACATGGACGTCGTCATGTCGAATCGGTGCAAGGACCCGGTCGCCATCGCTGCTGGGATTGCATTTGCGTGGGCGTAGACAGGCACGTATGACGTTGCATGCGGCGCGTACTGTCCGAACCAAAGCGTCGCCATGTACGCGTTCGACTTGTCTGGCACCGCCACAAAGGAGTAGCTCGCCCGAAAGATGGAAATCGCGCGCTCAAAGTGACCTGTTAGTGCCGTCGCCTTTGTCATGTTGCCGTTGAAGTTGATGTCTATTCGAACGCAACTTTGGTTTTGAAGCATTGATACTACCAACGCACCGTAGCGATCAGGGTTGCCGTACGGACCCGCAGCCGGGCCCTGCGTCAGGTCGTAGGCTGTGCCCTCGTAGTGGTCGCGCTGGTACGCCATGAGGTCCTCCGGCGAGATGCGCGACGAAACCTACGCGTACGTCGAAGCGACTAAAACCAAAGCGTGGACGTACCGGCGTCGAGAACGGATAGCTGAGGCCATAGACGTCCGTCACCGGGCTCAGCTCCAGGTGCGTGTTGGCGAGCGTAAGGACGCGCCACTGGCGACGCGTGGCGTAGTACTGGTCGGGCACGAGCGGATGCGAGTAGACGCGGGCAAAGTTGAAGGTCCCGTTGACCGACGGGTCGTACAATTGTGCACGAACCGCGACGTCGACCATATTTTTCGAGCCCATGAAGTTGGCGTTGTCGCTCAAGTTGACGTGCTGGATGATAAACTGGTTGGCAATGACAGCAATGTCGTTGTCAGGCACGCGCTGCGCGACCCAGACCGCCGACGCGCCCGTGTCATCCGGGTGGATGTGGAAGACCCACGCCTCGGTCGTGTCGGCGACCGTGAGCGTCTCACCGGCTTCAAACACTGCGTTGGGACCGTCCCAGACCGCGCCGTAGTACCCATACATCTCGGCCAGCTCGCCCATGACTGCGATCGCTTCCCGCGCCGTGGTTGCCCGCTCCATGGCCACGTGCGAAAGCTCCGAGATGTCGAAGAGCGCTTTCCCACCCGCGCTAACGGGTGCGCTGATGAGTCGCCCAGAGCACGTGCATTCGCCCATGGACACTTGGTGCTCGTTCATGATCGCGTACAAGCCAGAAATATAGGCGTGCGTCGATGGCACTTGTGGGATCGAGCCCATCGACGGCGACGCCGTCCAGTTGAACACTGACGTGTCGACGTTGGCGAGCGAGTACACGTCGCCGCGGCCGTCTCCGACTGTAAACATGCTTGTGAGGCATTTCATGCAAAATATTGCGACCCACCGTAGCGAGGGTACTCGAGGCGAAACGTGACCAGGTCACGGGTCGCGTTGGGCCCGTGGGTCCTTGCCGGGACCTTGCCGATGCGAAAGTCGCAGGTGCTGCAGTCCGACGCGTGGGTCGTCATGGGTGCGCCCGTCGTCGAGGCCTACGATGGCAGTCGCATGAGCTGGGTCGTGCGAGAGGTGACGCACGTTTCGGCCGACTGCGATGGCTGTGCATCGGTCCCAGTCGTCAGCGGCGCCGTGGGCGAGAGCGACGACGCCGAGGAGCACGGTCGATAGCAGAAGACGCATCAGGTCGCGGAAGATGTTGAAATGGGGCGATCGTATTTGCTGGCGACCGTGCTGCAAGCTGCTTCGTTGCGCTGATTGGCAAGGGTTCGCACTTCAACAGGAAACTTTATCGAAGGGTCATGTGTGGAATAAAATATGCCGCTTTTGAAGCGATTTCGGGTTTTTTTATTCCACCTGATCGGCTTGCTCCCTAGTGGCTTTTAAATTGAGAAAAATAAAATACGCACGAATCCTAGCACTTGGATATGGAATGGACGCGTTTGATTGGACAAAACATTTTATCTAAATAGTGTAAGAAACGCCACTTCAAGCACCGATGCAAGGTTGCCATCGAGCATGTCGGCATGTCTTAGAGTATGGCCCAGGAAGGAACCATTCCTTTCAAAGTCAATGGCTATGGGCTTTCGATCTATCTACTTGATGACAATAGTCAATTCGGAGAAACTGATGCCTCGAATGACGGAGTCGCAAGCGGTCATGTATTTTATACACTATTAAGGAATTACACGTGAATAGAATGGCGAGCAAAATTCAACTTCATTCTTACAAACATTTAGTTCGTAAAATATTTTTATTGCTTCCGAAGAAGTCCTCGTTTAATGGTGTTAAACAGTCCGTCACAGTATCAACCAATCGAAACAGCATACGCAGTCTCCTGAAAGGCCATTGGCTCCTTGAGGTAAGAGCCAAGACAGCGCTTCCAAGCATCCATCCACGATTCACCCAAGTGACCGCCAGCATGAAGGTACCGTTCACCAAGATGCAAGGCGCCGGCAACGACTTTGTCCTCATCGACAACCGCACACTCAGCCTCAGCCTCACGCCGGCGCAAGCCATTCGCATCTGCGACCGCTTCCGCGGTGTCGGCGCCGCCGGTATCTTGCTCTGGGAGAAATCGCGCACGGGCGTGGCTGACTGGGCGTGGACCTTTCTCCAGAGCGACGGCGACACGGCCGACATGTGTGGCAATGGCGCGCGCTGCTTTGGCCGCTTCGTTCACGACAACGTCGGCAACCGCGACCCGTTCACGTTCGAGACGGGTGCCGGCGTCGTCGCCGTTGCGGCCGCACCGGACAATACGATTGCCATTGCGCTTCCAGCACCCAAAGACGTCTGCTTCCACGAGACGATCGCACTGCAGCAGAGTCCGACGACGACGGTGCATTTCGCCAACACTGGCGTGCCCCATGCCGTCCTCTTCGTGGCGGATGTTCATGCGGTCGACGTGCAGAGCGTTGGCCGCGAGGTGCGGTATCACGCCCACTACGCGCCGCGCGGCACGAATGTCAACTTTGTCCAGGTGCTCGGCCACAACCGCCTCGCGATCCGCTCGTACGAGCGCGGCGTCGAGGTCGAGACGCTGGCTTGTGGCACGGGCGTCGCTGCGGCAGTGCTCGTGGCTGCGCGGACGCATCAGTTTACGTCGCCAGTCCGCGTCAACGTTGAAAGCGGCGACTGCCTCGAGATTCGCTTTGAAGACGACGGCACGACGTTTTCGCATGTCTACTTGATTGGGCCTGCTGAGCCAACGTTCAGTGGCGAAATCGACCTCTCATTCTAGAATTCTGTTGTCTCCTATCGTACCGCATGAGGATATAGCGGTGTGGGCTGAGGAGATGTACACATTTGTCATGAATCTCACTTCTATTTCTGGTGCGCTTGGCTGCCTCGGCGTCATAACGATGGGAGAGGCGCTGGACCAGGTGCAAAGGTCGAGGAAACGTCGATGGGTTCTTTTTAATTATGGTCCGATGCCATTATTGACCACAAATAAGAAGGGCCATAAAATTGAGAAGCGATGGTCCAGCACACGGGGTCCTGCCACTGCAAGGCCGTGACGTTCGAGTTTGAGGCGCCGGCGAAGCTCGTCGCGTGGGACTGCAACTGCTCGATCTGCGCCATGAAGAAGAACGTGCACACGATCGTGCCAAGCGCAGCCTTCCGCCTCACGGCCGGCGCCGACAAGCTCACGACATACACGTTCAACACGCACACGGCCAAGCACCAGTTCTGCAGCGTCTGCGGTGTGCAACCTTTTTACATCCCGCGCAGCAACCCCGACGGATTCGCGATCACGATCGCCTGCATTGCACCGGGCACGGTCCAGCACGTTGAGGTCAAGCGCTACGACGGCCAGAACTGGGAGGCCCAGTACGAGACGGCCGACATTGCCAAGTACTCTAAGGCATAAGAATACGCGGCAACACGACTCTTTTTCCCAACGGTGCGCAAATAGATCACGAGGCCGATCAAACTTGTCGCGTGCAAGTACCTCGCGCAACGAGCTGTTCAACGGCGCATATTACTAAGCTAGGACTGGTACGTAGTATGAAGCTTCTGGGTTCGATCGCTTCGTGGCATGGCGTGGAACACGTTGTTGGTCGTATGATGGATGCTTCGTGTCAGGGAGGAGCTATCGACATTAGCCTCGCCTCGCGATCGGTGAGACCTGACGTGCATCCCAATACAGGTGAGCTGAGCCGGCGACTCTGCTACGCTTCAGTAGTTTGTGTAGCTGATGAGCCGGTGCAGCCTATTCTCGCGTGGCTTTCATGTACCTTCACGCTACTACAGCTGCGCCGTATATTGAAAGCCGTGGCCGTCCGATCCAGCTTGCACTTTCTCGGCCCCGAGGCTCGACACTGCCTTCTCTGCGATGCGCAAGCCCGCGGAACGTACGACCATCTTTTGGTGCGCTGCCATACGTCCGCGCGATCTGGCGCGCTTTTGCACCGCTGCAAGGCATTTTGCAGATGCAACTCACGTCGTCGGTCGCTGGCTTTCTCGACGACGACGTCGCCATGTCGTACTTGGCCCACAAGTCATCCATTCGTGCCCTCTGGCGGATCTTACGCGCTTGCGTCTAGAATTGCCATTGGCTCGAACGCAACAACCGTGTCTCCCGCACAACGCTGACGCAACTCCCCGCCGCTTCGCTCGCGACCCGGGCAGCTACCATCGCACGACTGCATGCCCGACACTTGGCTCGTCGCGTCGCTGGTCGCTTCCCGAGACCTCTTGGTGTGCACACTATTACCTGCTCCCTTACACAGTCCCGAATCACGACCAGTAATGCTCCTCACCGGCCACGCCTCACGAGCGCATTAAGAAGTCCACCATATCTTTACAATTGCCTCAGTTCAACAACAGCAGGTGTGTCGTGTTCAGGCGCTCCAGGCTCGGGTTCTCCACCTCGCACCCTTGCATTTCTTGAACTAATCATCAGACCTTGAATGATTGCTCTAAGGACAAAACTGTCATGCTACTGTGCTGTGCAGTATCGGAGCAGATTTGCTGACGAGTAAGAACGATGTCATCTCCTCCCAGCGCGTGGGTGGCAACACCGTCAACGGCGCATTGACTACACCATCGCCCTCTTCAACCGCCCGCAACCTCCAGGCCTGGATGCGCATAATCATGTTGCTGGCGAAGAACCAAGTTCAAGCAGTGGCATCTGGTCACAAGACAAGGTCAGCAATCGCACAGCAATCGCACCGTGGTCGACGTGTACAGTGTAGTAGCTGATGCCATTGATTCTTCCCACCAGCTTCCATGTCCAGCTTCAAGAATCTCGGTTCGCGACAACCGCCGGCGGAAACCGACTACTGGGAAGGGAGAAACTTGAGGCAAGATACTTGGGAGCTAAATTTTCACTGGACGAGTGAGCGATCAAGAAGTCCAGCGCGCTACAACGACACGCCTGCGACCCAACCTCCTTCGCCGCCCCTTTTCCTTCGCCTAGAGCATGAGCCTAGTATCGACTTGCGTACCTGACTGACGAGGCCTCGGTATCACTGACGTGGCGCTTCATCGAGGCACGTTATCGCCGGCCTGTCGCGTGTGCATCGAAGCCACGTTCGTTGAAGTTTGAAATCACTTGCGGTTCGTAAATGGATAGTGAAATCAAGTTACGACATTTCGAGCGACGACACTGTGCATGGAACAGGATCGAACAGCGGATCGCCATTCGCACCGCAAGTTCCCACTCTACTTTTCTTCTTCTGCCAGCTACACCATGAGCGTCACGGAACCCGCCGAGCCCCAGAAGCCGACGACGCCCGTCCCGTCGCCCAAGGCGGACGCGCCCACCGAGTACGTCCCGGTGACCGAGTACGCGCCGGTCGCCGACGCCGTCCTCGTCGAACCCACGGTTGCCATGAACGTTGTCGTCGTTGACGCTGGCCTCGACGCCAACGGCCTCGTCGTCGGGCGCTGGAAGGCCGACATCTGCGCCTGCTTTTCGGACATGATCCCGAACTGCTGCATGGCGTACTGGTGCCCGTGCATCTCGCTCGCCCAGACCTTGCACCGCGTCGGTCTCTTCACGTACACCAGCACGCTCCTCGTCTTTGCCGTGCTGTACACTGCGCAGTACCTCGCGCAGCTTCTTGCGATCGTGTTTGGACCATTGGCCTTCTTCCTCTCGTGGATTATCTACGCCTTCGTCGTCGCCGCGCTCATGTACGTCCGGACGCGCGTCCGCGCCATGTTTGCGATTCCCGGCAACGTGTGCGAAGACTGCCTTTGCGCGTGGTTTTGCAGCTGCTGCACGATCGCCCAGTTGGCGACGCACACCGACTCGTACACGCCCAACGCCTGCAACTTTGGGCCCAAGGACACGCTTGCCGGCTACGTTGTCTGAACTTGCGAATGGGAAACCACCCGGTCTTGTATCTTTTCAATATTTCGAAAAGGAATATAATTCTACGGGGTGGTCGCGATCCAACAGACTACATTCATACGTGCATGCATCCTTGCCAACGCAAGAGACGCGGGCCCAGAGCGCATGCATACTAGTATATGAAGGTGCAGATGCTGCGGAAAAGCTGTAAGGTCCGCCTCACTTTGCTGATGGTTTGATACATTGATAGATTGTAACGTTCCTGGCAGAGACCGAAGCAGCACGTCCTCGCCGCGTGGGCCCGTGCACAGACAAGCTTTGTTCCGCCAGTGAGTAAGCTGCCACAATGAGCTCCGCGCCGATCTCTGTGACCGCGAAAGCGCCGCTCGAGTATATCCCCGTCATGGACCCTCTGGCATCACCGATGGCGCACCCCGAGGACGATGCGTCGGTGCCCATGGCCGGCGCCGTGGACATGAACGGGCTCGTACTCGGGCGCTGGAAGACTGACATCTTTAGTTGCCTTGCGGACCTCATGCCCAACTGCCTCATGGCAACATTCTGTCCGTGCATCTCACTCGCTCAAGTCCTCCACCGACTCGGTTTCTACTCGTACTCGTCGACACTGATTGCGTTTGGCATTCTCTACACCGCGTACCTCGTCGCGACGATGCTCTCGTCGTCCGTGCACCAAGCGTGCGTCTACAACGGCATCGTCGTCACGTGTACATCGTCGTGGAACCCGTGGCCGGCCGTGAGTCTTCTCTTGGCTGGCGTAATGCGCGGGCTGCTCATGCACATCCGGACGCGGGTCCGCGGCCTCTTTCAGATTCCCGGCAGCGCGGCTGAAGACTGTCTCTGCGCGTTCTGCTGCTCGTGCTGCATGCTCGCCCAACTGGCGACGCACACGGATGCATACACGGCGGCGCAGTGCGAGTTTGGACCAAAGGACACGCTGCCAGGGTACCACGCCTAACTTTCACTGTCGAGCCAATCAAGTGTACTACACTCGTTTCTAAAATGCGCGCTTGGAGTCAAAGTACGAGGTTCAGTTGTACATCAAACATTCGACGAACCAGAGCCTCACCAGGTGTGCTCGTTGCAAAATCTCAGAGGCTTCTATCTTGCGCACGTCCGCATACTCATAGTGGTAGAAGCAGAGGCTTTCTTACGCGAGTAGGAGCAGATGCCAAGACTGCGGAAGGCTCTAGGAGACGACCACATCTCCCTCTCGACGAAATGTGCTTCGCCAGTGCGCGCCACGTTATCAGCACAGAAGGGTTAGGATGTTGGTGTGGATGCCACGGACGTTGAGCAGCAAATGCTCGAGCAGCGCCGACCAGAGAGAGAGAGAGGTCTAGATCCGTTGGGTACGGCTACGATGACAGCCGTTCGTTCTAGTCTCTTGTGCTGACGTTTGAAACTACGGAGCGCGGTCGGCCAAGCAGTGGCTGGGCTGCAGCGATCCCATGATCGGCCGCCAGCTTTTGCTGTCCTCAGACAGTGCAATCGTGCCAGGAACCATACAGTGTAAGACACTCGCCTCGTCATGAGGATAATTGGATGCGCTATCGGACCGCCACGAGCGAGCGGCGTCATCAGCCATCAGATCCGCCATTACGATTTGCCCACGCACGATCTCGGTTGCTAGAGCAATTTAATACCTCTATCTGAATGTTTGATACAAACACGAAGATAATGCGCGATAATTTAAAGCTAACGTCCACCACATGGGCTGGCTGGGGTAGCTCCCTCATAACCGGTTTATGCGCGCTGTATTGCTCCCATCAATCTTCTTACATATTGTATTAGAGCCCGCAGAAGGAGGCCTCACCGTCGCAAGAAAGGAGTTGTAAGTAGCATCACGTCACAACGGGCGCTGGCCAGTTTGCATTTTTCCGCACCAAGTTGGAGCATGAGCATCACTGAGAGCACCAAGCCCGCCGACGCGCTGCCCGTCGACGCGACGCCCGTGGCCGCCAACTACTACGATAAGGACGTGGCCTTCGCGGCGCCGGCGCCACAGGTCGTCATCGTGCAGCCGACCGTGGTCATGCAGGCGGCGCCTGTCGACGCCAACGGCCTCGTCGTCGGTCGCTGGAAGGCTGACATTTGCGGCTGCTTTACGGACCTCGTGCCCAACTGCTGCATGGCGTGCTGGTGCCCGTGCGTCTCGCTCGCGCAAACCGTCCACCGCGTCGGCCTCTACACGTACGCGAATGCGCTCCTCGTGCTCGTCATCATCTTTGGCGCGTCGTACGTCACGACCGGCCTCTCGAGCTTCTTTCGTGACACGTCGTGCACGTACTACAGCGGCGGCCTCACGGTCTGCGCGACGACCATGTCCTTCTGGGGCTACATCTCGTCCGTGTGCGAGATCGTGTCGATCGCGATCATCATGCTTGCGCGCATGAAGATCCGCGGCATGTTTCAGATTCCGGGCAACGCGTGCGAAGACTGCCTCTGCGCCTTCTTCTGCAGCTGCTGCTCGGTCGCGCAAATGGCCACGCAAACTGACTCGTATACGCCCAACGACTGCAACTTTGGGCCCAAGGAGACGCTCCGCGGCTACGTCCTTGTCTAAGTGCATGTAGTATTCCAAACAGCAGCATCTTCATGACAAATCGACACCTCATCTTGCCATTTGATTGATCGCACAGCCTATTTGATCGATCGCACAGCAGAGGCAGGCAGTAAAGAAGGAGCCGGCTATGTCAAAGAGGGCGCAGACCTTGGCACGATGAGGATTGTAATGATGAAAGAACACACCGCAAAAAGAATCGAACCCGCGGCCGATTGCAGCTCGCACACGCTGCGGCCGTCGACGAGGCGAGAGTTCTCAAGGTCCGGAAAGGCCATCGGGAGAACGTTGGCGAGGAGAAGAGGAAGCCAAAGAGGAGCAGTGCGCACGTGTACGACGAGGCCAACCCGACGCGGTGGATCGTCTGCGCGAGCGAGACGCTCGAGCTGATGCACACCACGCAGCAGTTGTGCACGCTATTGGTAAAGCAGCCATCGATGCTCACGGCCGTCCTCGCCGTGCGACGCGATCGATTAGTGTGCATATTGTGCTAGACGGAAACAAATGCGTTGCGAGCGAATATCTCAACGACCAGCGACAACGGCCCGCCACGCACAAACGATGGCAATACGCCCATTTATGCGCGAGTGAGAAGCGCATTACTGGTGGGCGAGCTGCGTTCGGGTTATTATTATTAATACTAGTAGAGAATGCTGATGGAGTCTCCTCGAGCACAATGCAGCAGCGTCAGTGGTGCCCGAGGAGCCTCGCCGTCGTCTTTCTGGCTTCGTCAGACATTATTCTTGGCGTTCGCCATAAATAATCGTAAATAACCATATTTTGGTGAACACAAGCCCGCCGCGCCGGCGGATCGACCAAAATGAAGTTTGAAAATGAAATCGCCCATACTTGCCAGAGTGCTAGACCACACTTTGGGGAGTCCAAAATGCTATGTGGCGTCGCCGTGTGAGCTCTGTAGCGAGAGCAAATGACAGCGGCAAACAATATTTCGATATAGTGTGATTTTTGGCTATACCGAAATACTGTACTGGATACGAGGCCTCATCACGCAGCGGTACCGCGCGCACGTTGCCTCCCTCGGCCACATGCAGCACGTTCTCTAACACGAACAAAAAGAGACGGCGCCCTCAGTTTCCGCGACTTCAACGCATTTTCAACCGAATTACATGTCGTATTTCGTGAAAACCGACGCTCGGCAGTTCGAGTTTGGTGTGAGAGCCCAAGCAACGACGGCGACCAAAAAATTGGTCGCACACCGGGTCAAGACCCTTGGCCAACTGTGGCAGCCAGTCTTACGGTCCTTGGAGCTTTGGAACCCCGCGATGTCACGTGAAGTATTTGGGCAATTCTGCCACCACCTCGAAAAATGGAAAATGGATTTCCGCGTCATTCCGCTACGTGCAGCGTCGGAAACGACATGTACGCCATTCAAAAAGTGCGTGGAGAGATATGCACGGCTGCTACGTGGCGCTGGCGCGTCTGTGGGCTGCTACTCGTCGTTGTGCTGCATGATGCTCACACTATTTAAGACGAGGTCGTAAGTCTTGTGATTGACTATAAAGAATCAAGAATTGAGCCAATAAAAACATCCGTTCCAGATCGAGCCGAATCACAAGGACAAGCGGTGGTGTGGACGCGCGCGATCATCGGGAAGGTCCGGCGCGACGAGCGGCTGCACGAAGATGCAGAGCGCGCTGCCTTCCGCGAGAAGCAGACCTCGACGGCCGCGTCGAGGCGCTCAAGAAGACCAAGCATCGACCTCTTTGCGCCCGACGCGACTCGCCACTTCTACAAGGCTAGCGACGCGCCGGACGAAGAAGCTCGGCGACTCGGCGAGCGCAAGATGACGCTGTCACGCATTGTTCGGCGACTGCAGCCACTTGGAGCACGGCGGCACCTCGCTCGCATGTTGTGTAGCGCTGGCTTACACCCGAAGAAACGTACTAGTAATTTATTATCTATTTGATATTTATGGTCTTGTTTGAAGGGGGCCGGACTCGGACCTATACAAATGTCAAGTACTACCGGACCGGACTGAAATAGCCCAACACACGATATCATACAGCGTTTTTTCTGATACAGTACATAATACAGAATTTGCCTTACAGAATTTGCCGTGCAGAGTTCGATACACGACTGGAGTGGGCGAAGGGCTCCCAGCAAGACAAATGATCAGAGGTGCTCTTTAGAGTGTGCATTAGTCGCATCATGATGCCTTACAGGTTGTACGCTAGTCGTCATGGATAAAAGTATTGTCGTGCTTCGCAATCCAGTCGAGAGTTCGATTTTGCTGCAAACGCCGCTCCTCGAGCCGCGCCACTGCAGCGTCAATGGGCATACGCGTTCTAGAGGCATAGGCTTGGACGGCACGAATGACCACACGACGTCGATTGTAGAAGCGGCGCGCGCTGTCATTGCGCCAACGAGCACTAGGCGTCTGCTCAATTGACACGACGGAGGGGCGGTCACCTAGGCCGTGGAACCACTCGCGCCAGAGCTCGGGTAGAGTTTGGACTCGACTCATTTGGTTACCAATAGCAACTCGCGTCGTGGACGGATTGTTGCTCATGGCACTTGCGGTCGTGGTGGGCTGGGTGGAGGGCTTGGCTGAGGGCTTTTGGGTAGCTCGTGGGGGAGACTGCCGAGGTGCGCCGTCGGGTTCCATTTCTAGGCGCATCACAAACCGACCACTTGCCAAATTGCTCACCACTTGACCTTGAGCCGCCACGTCGGTGCGCAGGTTGTTCACGACGGCGCGGACGTCTTCGAGACCAGACGTGACCAAGTTCATGGAGGTCGTGAGCGCCTTGTGGTTCGTGTCGATCTTTCAGTGAGCAATGGCATGGCGCGCTGAAGCAGTATCTGCATGGGCTCATCTTGGTGCACCAACAAGTGTTCCATCTTGATCTCGAAGGCGGTGTAAAGCGGGTGCGAAAAGAGAGGCGCACTCCACATCGGGTGCGCGGGGTAGAGCTTCTTGAGGAGGACAGAGTCTTGGAGAAGCACGACACGAAGATGCATTAGGAGCTCAAGGAAGCCTCTAGCCGCGATAGTGGCCTCGCACTTGCCGTCATTGAGCTTTGCGAGCCAGTTGGCGGCGTCTGGAAACACAAGCGCTTGGAGCTCTTGGTCGGGCTCCACTTGTCCACGCTCGAGGTAGTAGAGGCGAGGGTCTGGACTGAACCCAGCCATGACGCGCATTGCTTCGCGGGGTAGTTTGGTAAGGTAGCGGGGTAGTTTGGTAAGGTAGCAACCTTCCATTGCTTGGTTGTTCCAGTGGCCCAAGCGCCGGATTTGTGCCTCGCTTGCACCACCCATTTCGGCCATGCGAGCTCCTGAGCCACGGGCTACGTGCGTCTTGGCGCGGGTGCTGAGCCCGGTGGCGGTAAGCGCGTCGGAAACAGCCTTGTGGTGCGTGGAGTACGTCATCTCTTTTTCGGGTTCTTGCCGCTCTTGAGCAGCTTGTACCCGTACCAGTCGGCACTCGTGGTCATCACGGGGAAGGGCTCGCCTTCGACGTGCCAGCGCCAGAAAAGGTAGCACGCCATCGCAGCCTGCGGGCACACAGACACATCCTTGGCGCGCAAACATACGGCCAACTCCACGCGGCCATGCTGGTTTGTCTTGCCTTGGCGCTGAACGGCGATGACTGCAACGCACTTGCTAGTACCTTCGTTCTCCAATTGCACCGACTGTAAGTCCGCGAGCTCGAGCATGCGTGCCGTCTCGCCGCGCAGCAAGTAGTAGTGCGAAAGAGCGAACGCAAGCCAATCGCGGAGCCGAACGCCGAAGAAAGATGCCGGAGTCCAATAGTGCTTCGCGATTTGGCTTAACTGCTCTTGCGTCGTATAGCCATCTATGAGCGTACCGGCGCCGCGGTCTTCGTAGTTGGCGCGCTTGCGCTCGTCTTCGGCGAGCGATACTTGCTTCAGCAATGTCTTGACGAGATTGTTGCGCGGGTGGGGATTGGTGTTGGCACGTTGGCGCACTTGCTCTTGATAGAGGTCGACTATGGCGTTGACGTACTGCTTGACGGTGGCGTAGCCGATGACCTTGGTGGACTCCTTCGTCGACCCTGCGCCAGTGTCCTTCTTCGTCTTCGGGCGCGCCGTGCGTCCAATGACTTTATCCTTGATGAAGTAGTGGAGCGTTTGCGCGTCAACGAGCGGGAGCTTGTTGGCATTTCCGGGTTTGGCCTTGAACCAGTCGACGTACTCCTGGGCCTTCGCGCTGTAGGCAGCCTTCGTTGCCTTGGGACGCTTGTCCGCCGCCATCTCGTACGTCTCCATCGCTGAGCGCTGCATCGCGAAGGCCAAAGCGGCTTCTTGGACGTCGGCCGCGCTCGGGCGCAGCATCTCGTCCGTTGCACAAATCCAAAATAGAAGGACAGAAGCTGCATATCCAGGATTTCCACCAACTGACCAACCGCCCCGCAAGGTTTGCTCCATTTTTAGCCAATAGTACATCGCGGACCCACCCTGAAAATATCTCGGATATTTTCAATAGAAGTCTGGAAATACCCAATGTTAACTATGGGTCCGGGCCGGACCCTAGTCGGACCTGGGCGGACCTAGTACGTATATACCTATCTTTCTCTTCCACTGCAAATCTACGAAGTTTCCTACGAGCCCACTCCGCAGGAACCTTCTACCAAGACCATAAATATACTTATGGCCTTGCGTCTACCAACGGACTTGTCTTGTGTTCTACCAAGAAACATTTTGAACCGCAGCGATATGTGCGCATGAAAGCCAAGGAGATCGGTCCATGGCATATCGAACAAAGAGTGCGTGCCAGGGATGGTGGTGGAGGATCGCGACCGTCGCTCCGTGGCTCATCGACGGCAGCACCATCGGGTGCAGAATATGAGGTCGTGGTGGGCATGGTGATATCGACTGCACGACGACATGCGCTAAAGCCATCTAGTTGAAAAGTCTTGGTCGTAGCGAGTCGCTCGTGCAAACAGAAGTATGCAAACAGTCCAGAGGACGTCATCGAAAGCGGTTTTAAACATGTAATAAACCTAGTATATCAGGCCTTGACTCTCTGGATGGACGGCTGCTTGAGCGCAATGTAGCGTCCGACAGCAAAGCCCGCGGCGACGCCCAGCACGACAATCATGAGCGCAGCGCCCATGAGCGCGCCGGCAACGACCTGAATTTCGTTGCCGTCGTTGTAGTCGTAGCCAGCGCTGCGCAGCCACCACTGGGGGTACCCCATCGGCGCGATGCCCATCTCGTCAGCCGTCGTGTTGGAGACGACGTAGCCGTCGTGGAAGCGCGTCACGAGCGTCGCAAAGAGCGCGGTCGCGGACGCCAACGCACGGGCCGCCGCGTCTGCGCTGGTCTGCGTCAAGTACGTGACGGCGTCCGCGTCACTCAGCGTTGCGACATGCGCCGCCACCGCAGCATGGGCTAATCGCATCATCATCGTCTCGAGAAGAACAGACAGCATCGTACCGGCGAGCGCGGCGGCTTCGTACGCGCCGCTGGCTGCGCGAATGACGGGCGACGTCAGCTTGTAAAAGAGGCCACCATAGTTGCCAAGAAGCGCGTTGGCCCAAAACAGCGTGCGATTGTCAAAGCGCCGAAGGGACCCGCGCGCGGTGGCGTTGGGCGTCGCCTCCACACGCGCATAGATCGGCACATACGTCGTTGCGTGCGGCGCGTAATGGCCAAACCTACGCATTTGGACGCTCGACAGGTCGCATTTGACAGCGGTACGATGGACGGTACCAGACGACGCCGAGGCGAGGGTCCAGCACGCTCGCCTGTGTCACGTATGAGTACGCCGTTCGGAAGAGCGAGATGGCGCGCTCGAATTGCCCGTCGGCGCCGGCCGATCCGGTGGCTAGGACCGATGACGTGAGTGTCCGTGTGCGGGGTAGGGTCTACCGACAGTAACGGTCGGGGTTGCCGTATGGACCGGACGCCTTGTCGGTCGTCAAGTCGAACGCCGTGCCTTCGTAGTGGTCGCGCTGGAACCGCATGAGGTCGGCGGGGCCGAGCAGCGCGGCCGGCTATGTACACAAGAGGAAATCATCGACTCTTAATATCTCGAAGAGAGTAATACGCACCCGCGTCGAGAACGGATAGTCGGAGGCAAACACGTCGGTGGTCGGCGAGAGGGCGAGGCTCGGGTTCGCGAGCGTGAAGACGCGCCAGACGCGCCGGGTCGAGTAATACTGGTTCGGGTGCTCGCGGACCATCGCGTACGATGCGGTAAAGTCAAAGTCCTCGACGTCGTCGCCGTCCCAGAAGCCGTTGCGCTTCGCCACGTCAAAGAGGTTGGTGGACGCGAGGTAGTTGGCGCTGTCGCGGACGTCGATCGACCGAATGACAAACTGGTTGGCGACAACGGCCATCTCGGTCGCCGGCACGCGCTGCGCGGCCCAGACCGCCGACGCGCCCGTGTCATCGGGCAGAATGTGGAAGATCCACGCCTCGGTCGTGTCGGTCACCGTGAGTGTCTCGCCCGACTCGGCAAAGACGTCGTCGCCTTCCCACGAGCAGCCATAGTACCTAGATATATGTTTCAAGTTGATGCTATCTTGCACGTTGGAGAAGGGATGGTGGTTAGGTCTCGGCGAGGTGGCCCATGACCGTGATGGCCTCGCGGGCCGTGCGCGCGCGCTCCATCGCGACGCGCGAGAGCTCGACAATGTCGAAGAGCGCGTTGCCGCCCTGCGAAAGCGGCTTGGCCCACAGCCGCGCGCCGCACGTGCTCTCGCCGAGCGCCACTTGGTGCTCGTTCATGACGCCGTAGACGCCGTCGAGGTACGCGTACGTCTTCGGCACTTGCGGGATCTGGCCGATCACGGGCGTGGCCGTCCAGTTGTAGACGTCGTCGTCATCGAGCCGCGTGTACATGGGCCCGAGGCCGTCCCCGACGTACCGCGGGTAGCTCTGCTTGACAAGGACAACATCGCGCATCGCACCGGGCGCGTGCGTCTGCGACGGCACTTTGAGCAAGCGAAAGT